TTAATCTTAATGTGTATATATTAAAGAAACTCTAATGATGCTTCTAATTCGACCCTTTTGTAGCTCCCTCCCTCTCGGATTTTTTCTTCCCTCCTTCCCATCTCTCGCTCTCAAACTCTTCTTCTTATGAAATTCTACGATTTTTCTTTTCAAATTTTTATGGTAATTTAACCTTGGTCTCCGCAAAATATTTCGTGGTGGTATTGAATAAAATAATGGCAAGACGGGGATCGGGATAAGCGCCGACCGAATAACACTCTTGTTTAGAGGTAGTACTTAAAATATAGTCTCTTATATTTAAAATTATATATTATAGATCTCTAAAATTTTAATTTTGTATTTAATAGAATTATGGCTTGATTTTGATATTTTTTAAAAATTAGATATTTATCCAACATAAAATTAAAAGAATAGTCTTATTAGACATATAATTGAAAATTTATGAATTTATTTACGTATTTAAAGTTTAAAGGGTTTCCTAAAAATAAAAAAAAATGATATGTATATATATGAGAAACAAAAATATGTTTAACCGAAAGAAAACTGAAACATTACTAAAAAAAAAATTTTTTTTTGCATGTACGTTTTTATTTTATTTTTTGCATTTTCTTCGTTAACTATTAACATATAATCAATTATATTTTTTTATTAGTATAACTTTTTTAGTATAATATGTAGGAGTGGGGGATCGAACTCACAACCTGCTAATTACCGCTAAACTATGTTTCTTTGGCAGCATAATTTGACCTAAATATATTATTTTTCTTGATTAATACATTATAAATAAATAAAACTACTAAACTGAAAAAATATATATTTTTACATATAATTTTAGAAAACAATTTGTATAATAGTTTTTCCTTTGATTTAAAATTATACACTCTGGCTCCTGTTAATTTACCAACACATTATGGAGATGGATGGTTTTATTTATCGATTTGGCGATGAAATAAATAACAAAATTTAACTTTTCAACAAGAATTTGTGGTTTAATATACTCGTGCCATTGGTTTTATTTAGTGTTCATTGGTGGACAGCAAAGTATTCTAGTTAAAATATTAAACAATGATTCAATATAGTTTCATGCTAATAATGCACCTTTAAAGGTAATACTTAGTTCTTACAAGGTACTATAATTAACAATAAGGTTGACATATGAATTATTTATTTTTTCTTTTCCTAGATTCCACTCAAAAATTAAGAAGATGAAAAAAAATCATCAAGAAACTCTTCCAAAGTAATTACTAAATGCCCACCACTGCTTTGTCTAGTATCCATAAATCAAAAGATATATATTAAGAACATATTAATAATGAGAAAGAGCTAATTAAGTTGGCAAAAGCATGCAAAATTATATATTTATCATCGAAGTAATAATAATGTGATTTTATTAATTCTTTATCATCTAGTGATATATTCTCTAAATCAGGTTTATATATTTGTTCAAATTTTGTATAGAAATATGGCTCAATGCACTCCATTGACATCTTGTGAAGTATGTGAAGTTTAGACGAGTTTATCTTCTTCTTTATTTTTTTAATTTTTATTTTGAGTTCACCAATCGTGTGGATCTAACATTAAATTTTTTAACGTCAAAACATGTTGCAGTTGACGTTTAATCTATCAAAATTTTGACGAGTCTCTTCTCTATGTTATGTTAGAGATTAAGATAAAATATTGTATAACTTTCCCCATTTCCATGACGGAATATACAATTTTGAAATTTGACCGAACTAAATAACTACCTAAGTTTGTTGCCCAATGATTGAAACTTAGACAAAATATCTACATGGTTGTTACTCATCTATGGGGCTTTATTATTCAAAGTTGTATACTTCCATTCTTCTAATAAATTTTTTATAAGAGTGATAAATGCTTATTAAAACTCCACCTATATATATTTGAAAGGAACAAGAAACGAAGAATTAAGATCAACAATACTCATTCTTTCCGACAAGAAAAGATGGTATTACTAATTTTTTCGCATTGATTTCATTCCGTAATTAATATACAAATTAAAACTCCACCTAATCAATCACGAGATCGATAATCTAAATCTCTTCTCCTAAAGTTATTACACATGTTTCAAATTTTTTGTTTCAATCTTTACCCATTTAAAACAACATAGTTTCAAGAAATCTACTAAATAATACACAATAAAATAAGTAGGTATAAATTGTGATTGAACCTACAAATACAAATTATTGTTTTTAATCAATCAGCATGCATCTCATTTGACTGCGTCTTGCCGGTATCAGCAACAAACCAATGAAATCCATATATTATAAGTACTCTCATCATCTTATCAACTCTTATGAAGAGTAATAATAACAATAATTATTTACAAAGCTACATTTGCATTTTTGTCGCACGGGAAAAATTAATTATGAAATGGATGGGCCATTTGGTAATATAAAATTTATAATAAGGTCAAGAAATTAAAGGTTGGCAATCGGCATTGTTGCGTGTTTTAAGCTTCCATTTTCAAAGGGGAACATATAACTAACAACTCTTCTTCATTATACACAATTAAATAAAAGGCAAGTCGGTGGTTGCCTTAAATTCCATGCTCTCATCTTCTTTCATCAATTGTGTTCAATATGTTCACATTATAATTTATAAGCCATCTTTCAAACAACAAATCATAAGACAAGTTTTTGAGAAATTATTAAGGTGTTGTCATAACATAACTGTCAACTTCTAAATATTTACATAATAAAATCACATTTTTTTACTCTATAATCCACTCATTCGTTCTAAGAAATATAAAAATTTATCCATTTTCCCCCATTGTTTAAATAAATTTAATAAATTCATCCTTTTAAAACAAAATAAAGGGATTATATAATATATAGTGGGAATGAAGGATTCGAACTCACCCAGACTTCTTGAGTCACCCTAGAGTAAGTCGAGCAATGTCTCTATTTGAACTGTGGAATCGAAACATACACTCATGTTTGAATTCACACTTCATGTGTTCTGAGAAATCTTTACCATATCTCAAAAAGGAAGAAATTGAGTCTTAGTCTAAAGAAATACCTTGAGGAGGGGCATATGTACAAAGGGTAGGGAGGTGAATGTAGTCATGTGATTTTGTGAATCCACCATGCCTGGATTCAATTCCCGTTGTTCGCCCGTAAAAATAGTTATATAATATGTAACTAATATGATAAATAGGGCGAGCTTTATTTAAGAGAGAATGGGGTGAATTGAATTCGTTTTCGTTCTTGGTTTGGTTCGGACTCCTCTCGATCTTATTCGTAGTTAGGAAGGGAGAAGAAGTCTAAATCAATGGACATTAATGAACCATCATTGATGAACGTTACACATGACACACGATCAATTCAACCCAAGGTCCGACACTAATAAAAGTAGCGGACTCTCCTGATACACGTCAAGCTATGTCCGATTAACATATGATCTAAGACTTATTTGTCAAATTAAATTATATTTTGATTACTAATTTGTATAAAAAAAGAAAAAAAAAAGGTTTTGTGTAGTCATTATCAATCTATATTTCTATATGGAATTTAACAAAACCTTTTTTTTGCCGCATTCCATGAACACACGGATTTCTAAAGTCAAACAATATATCAAATTGAGCTTTTTCAAATTTGGAAGTTGATGACCTAGAAATTCTATTGAAATACAATAGAATATTTTGATGACAATGACCACAACAATTATAAAACTCTAGGGTTTTGTTTAAAATAACCCATATTAATAATATAATTAAAACAGAATATATAAATATAAAAAACTCTAGAGATAATTAGCCTCTCTAAGTTATCATATTCCCTACATGAATTTACATTAAAAAAAAGAAATAGATAACTATTTCGTCGTCATGGGATGATAAAATAAAATAGTTTTGAAGTGATTACCATATGGCAATCACATTAAATAATGTTATTATTTTTAATTGAAGAAAAAAACTTTATTAACAGACAGGAATATATTAATTCTAAATTTCAACGTCAATATTATTAATATTTTGACCCCAAAATTCAACAGCACTGTGGAAACTTGAACCCACCTTCTCTTGCAGTCCGTAGAACATTCAATTCAATTCAATAAACCATGGCGGAATTCTCGATAAT